ATTGGCAGTGAACCGTCACTGCCGACATATTGGCAGTGAACCTTCACTGCCAACATTTCGGCAATGAACTGTCAATACCTGCACTTTGGCAATGGACGTTCAACGCCATAATATGGCAATGACTGAATAGCCGATAACTTAAAAAAAGTTCACAAACTGACATCCACTCATTGCCAAAATTGGCAAAGAATATTGCCTTTGGACTGGCAATGAACCATCATTGCCGCTGGAAAAGTCTTACTTTTGTCTTATTGCCATTGCATGGTCATAGCCACAAAATGTAGTACTTTCATTGCCATTGGAGGGACAGTGAGGTCAGCCTGTACATTTGAATACAGTCTGACCGTATTCTACAAAACAGTGCAGACTCTTACAGGCGGTAACAGGTCGGACTGTAAAATTTAAAACAGTCAGGCCAATATAAAAATTTATTGGCCATCCTGTACGAATTACTGTAGTTTTTTTAACAGTGTACTACGAGGGGCGCGGGCCGGCCTCGGGCGCGGCTGGCTGGCTGGCGGCTGGCCGGTGGGGCCCCCACTCCCGCCCGCCTGCTGACTGCGGATAGCGCGTTCTTACGGGGAAAAAGCTGGGACTCCAGGGCGCCCTTCTCTCATGGCCAAGGCCCGTACCAAACGGACGCTTCAGCATTTGGTATAAATATGGTGTATTTATGGTGTTAAAACGACCATTCTTACAACCATAAAAAGAACGAAAGTACACCATATCCACACCAAATGCATTTGGGGTATTTATGGTGTATATATCGTGTACATTTAGTATCAATTTGGTGTTCTGAAAACACCAGATTTACCCGATTTTTATCCGGATCCATTCCACACGGGTTGGTTTGGCGGAAGATCGGGCCTCGCTTGTTATTGCACTCATTGGCTTAGCATAAAGCGAAGCCTTTGCTGTCATGAGGTGCAGGGAACGGAACTCTTTGGTTGTGTGTCTGTCTATCTGTAATCACACACGTTTCTCAAAGACGGCAACTTCAATTGACTTCAAACTGCGCACGAAGCATCAGTATAAATCCGGTCGTATCGAGTTTAGTTTAGAAGTTTGATAGAAGATGTTTGAAATAATTTAATTTGAATTCGTAGTTTTGGTGGTAGTAGGTTGGTAGCACGGCAATCGAGGGGAGGGCGAGCGCAAGTGGCTTCTGCGCTCACCTGAAGACTTAAATACCTTCTCAGCAGTGATTAAAATGTCAGAAAGTCAATCCGAGTGATTTAGTTTTAGTTTTAGAGTTGCGGAACTTAGCCTGCGAAGTTTCGCGAGTGTCCGATGAGAAGGAACGAAAGTGATATTTGGAATGGTTTACGTGTTTACTTACTAGGTCTATCACAACACATCTAGCGCACAAATCTCGTCATTTAAAATCATTTCACGTCTTAAATATGCGTTTGATCTTAAATATGCGTTTGAAGCTGAACCAAGTTAATGGGCTGAGCCTCCACCACCGATTAGGGCGTCCCACTTATCGCCAAATTTCGATATTTGATGCGGACCTGGTCTCAAACGGTCACTTTTGGTTCAAATTCTTCAAATTTTTTGGTCCGGTCAATTTTTGACCCCCCTTGGCCGTGCCCCGAGGGCCTAAGTGCAGCCAAACCAAAGATTTTTTAAAAATTTCGGGAAAAATCTTCTTATATGAAACACATCATTCTACGATCTTATGGGCCTAGATTTTGTCCGTTTTGCTCTAACTCAAACCGTTTTCGAGATACGGGCAAATTTGTCCTTAAAACATAGCAAAAATGTGTACTATTTGGTACTATTTCGAAAATTGTGCCTAGAGATCCAAATTTTGATGGTATCAACACGTACGATAGCTTGTTTTAATCAACTTTCTATGCTCTTTCATTTAAAATTTTGTCCGGGTTGATCCGATCTAAAACAAAAAATCGGAAATGCAGACCAAACTCCGCTGTATCTGGACATGCCAAGCAGGACTTCTGTTGACACCAAGGGCAAAAAGTCCATCTCCATCAAGACAACCGGGAACGAGAAGACCCGCTTCACAGTTATGCTGGCCATCACGGCGGACGAGCGCAAGCTCCCACCATATGTGGTGTTCAAGCGGCTCACAGTCCCCAAAGGGAAGTCCCCCCCCCGGGTGCACATCCGCGCCGCCGAGAGTGGCTCATTCAATGAAGACATCACTGTGGACTGGCTCAAGACCGTGTGGGAGAAGCGACCCGGCGCTCTTCTAAATTTGAACAATATGTTGGTCATGGACAGTTTTAGAGGCCATCTCACTGAACAAGTCAAAGACAAATTTAAGAGAATGCAGACAGACATGGTGATAATACCTGGTGGGATGACCAGCTTGCTTCAACCCCTGGACATTTGCATCAACAAGCCTTTCAAAAACAAAATTGAGGAATACTACTGTGATTGGATGGTCCGGGGTGAAAAGCAGTACACCCTAACAGGTAGAATCAAGCGGCCTGACCCTGAACTCTTGATCTCCTGGGTTAAGAAAGCCTGGGACTCTATACCTAAACCTATGGTGGTCAAGTACTTCAAAAAGGCTTTCATTTCAAATGCTCTTGATGGCAGTGAGGATGATATTCTTTGGATGGATTTAGACAATAAAAATGATGATGAAGATTATGAAGAAGGAAATGAAGAATCTGATGAGACTGACAGTGAAAGCAATGTTGATGATTATGAGTATGATGATAATGATGAAATGTTTGAATAAGACTAAACTTCTTAGTGCAATATTTGTGACCTGTATACCTGCTACCCTACCTAGTCTTTAATTGTAGGTACCATTAAAGATTAAGACAATTCCTGTTGATTTAATCTACATTCTTTTCAAACCAAATCACCCAGACAACCTTAAACTTCAACGAAAATTTGGATGAGCACTACTCTTGTAAAACATGGATTTTCCTCTAAAAAACTTTTTTTTTTCAAATTTGACCTCTGAAAACTAGGGGGGGGGGCTATATTAAGGGGAGGACTAAAATAGGGTGTTTACGGTAAGCTGGAGGGGGCGGTGTAGTGGTTTGGGAGAAATGTGCAAAGGTAACTATTTTTTCGGGTTCATCTTGACAAAAGAAAACGAAAATGTTTATGCCCAAAGATGATCGGAATCGAAATGGCAGAGTTATGCTCAAATGTTCAATAAAGTTTCAAATCGCCTCTGGCGGCCAAACGGTGCGTCGGAGGTCAATTCTGACGGCAGTTTTCGCCCAGGGTCGTACCTCGCCGAAACGAACACTAACGCACCCTTCGGACGTTCAATTTGGAGTTATTCCCCTCCAAATTGACAATTTGGTCGTTTTGGCACACTTTTACCCCTTTGGATTTTATTAACTTTGCCATTTCGACTCTGATCGGCTCTGAGCATAAGACATTTTCTTTTTAATTTTGCAAGAGGAATCCAAATCTGGGATTGTACCAAAAATTTGATAACTCTTAGCAAATTGCAAATTTACAAATATTTCATTGGAACACAAAATAATGGTGTTCAGTCGTAAAACGAAGCGAAGTCATTTTATCTTATAAAAAAGGATCTTCAAAGGCTTATTACACTCACAACTAATTTTTTCGATATCAATATACTTGCAGGGGATCGAACAATATTAGAGCCATAGTCGCAACTCATTGTAGGATAAGCCGTTCAAAATCAGAACGAGATTTATAATT